GAAATCTATAAGTTTGAGCTTGGTCAATGATTTATTATACTGAAAATGATCATACAGGAGATGGGGTGACTTTCATGTCATTTTGACATATTTCTAGTAGAGGCGCTTAATTGTATTATGAAAACTTTGTAGACATCTGCATTTTATGACAAAGTGTTCTTAGTCTTCTGGTGTGTTAAAAATGTTACAATTAGCTGTATCGCTCAATTTCCATTTCTGTAATATTTGATTTGATACTTTATTGAATAATTTCCATCTGAATATAAAATCATTTGTGAACTCTAATACAGCATTAATATTAAGGTTAATTTCCCAATATATCATTGAGATAGGTTTTTCAGAACGCAATTTTACTTAATGTTTGTAAATATTTTGCTTGCTGCAACTTTTAATTTTCGTTCTTTCTAGTTTGGGAAGCTTGATGACTAAATCTTTTTCAATATTGACTTTAAAGTTTTGCATGTTGACATAACTTTCTTCAATTTCTTTAGACAACATTTTGGTATGACTTTCTCAATGTTTGTTAGTTCCGATAGACAATTTATCTTATTTTTGAGATTTTCATAAATCAGTCTGTCATTAAATTTTACGCTGTTATGCAGTAAGTCCTTGATTGTTATTATACCTGACTCTATTCAAGTTTTAAATAATAACGTTTTTCCTTTCATCTTCATGTATTTATTTCCCCATATGATCAGTGATAGCATGTTATTGTAATGTGTTGCTTCTTTGTTCGGTTCAGTCAGTTTTATCCATGTTGATACGATTTCATAGGTTTGGATAACTTTCCATAGGGCTTCTTCCTCTGATGCAAGTTTTTTTTACCTAATTTATCCTTAATGTGTCAATGTGAGATCTTATATTGATTGATTTAGACCTCCGTCTTTGTATGCTCTGATCATTGTTCTCCTTTTTACTTTTTCTTGCTTTCTGTCCCATATGTAGTTATAAATAATCTTTTCAAAATCTTGGATTGAGTTGTTTGCTCGAATATATAACACGAAATAAGGTATGTTAATTGTGGTACTAATAATGATATCACTATTTGTATCCTCCCAATTATAGTTTTCCTATTTTACAGTTTTTCACAAGTTTTTGTACTTTATCCAACTTTTCTTTCCAATTGATGTCTAACATTTGTACGCTACTGTACACTGCTTCCTTCCTTCATATCTGGATGACGGTTATCATGATCGCTGCCAATGGATTCCGCCATTTTCTATAGAGATGTATCACCGCAAGTACACAAAACAGTCTAAACTTACGTGAAAATGTCTTTATCAGACGTATTTTTTCACTGATCTCAGGTAGTATTCCTGCGTTTATTATCAATCTATGCAGTATGAATCCGATGTATTTGTGGAAAACTTTTGAAAAAATGCGGAGCTAAAGGATTGTTATTTGAATAATATCATTATCAAATAATCAACAATAACTGCATCTGATAAGTTTAAGTATATTATACATAACACATTATACTTCAATCACCCATTTTCCATTCTCGCACAATATTTTCTTTGCTTTGACATTTTCTAACATATTCAAAATTAGTAGAACATATGAGATACCAATTCAAAATAACAGTTATTTTTAGATACCAATTCTAACTCTGTATTAATTGAAACAACAACACATTGAATAATATCATATGCATGTAGATGAGGAACAAAGCAAACAAAAAAGCAAAAATCCGTTAAAAATTATGTTTACATGTTTAAACCAGTATCAAGTGCTATGTATTGTTTTATAAGAAAGAGAAAAGAATAGAGTAATAAGAAATGAGAGGGACGAGAACGAAGGCATGATGGAGAGGGGTCGAATATTGTTCAATTTTGTATTAGTTGTATGGCTTGCAGTAATCTTTCCATTTTTTCCATTCCTTTTTAGAATAAGTAGGATAATTTTCACCATTAGCTGGGGCAATGTATTTCTAATTGTAAATATTTTGAAGTTTTTCCAAACAAAAATGATAGCCTATATGTATCAAGCCTTTATAATATATTGTTTTAAGAAAATATTACTAAGTTATCAAAATTATAAAATTCAGTATTCAGTTTTTTAATTGAGTATTCTCTGTGTTTGGAAAAGAAATAAAAAGATGATTTAACTGTAATATAAGAAGGGACTTTAAAATATGTCTTTCCTATGGGTGTTAAAAGTCTTCTTATCCATATCTCAATTAACGCCTTGAGCTTTACTAATTCTTTTTTATCATAGTTGAATTTTGGAATTTGGTAAAGGTCCACGTTTTTAATTCCCCAATGTAAGTTCCATCCTGGAAAGCATGAATCATTTCTATATTTTTTATTTCCAATCCTAACAACTTATGTTTTACTTCTATTTACTTTTAATCCAGATATGGAACACAATCTACATCAATGCATAAGATTCTTATTTATTTTAAATCTAATAGCAAGTACTTCTACACATAAAATAAAGATATAAGGTGCGATTGGATCACCCTTACGACAACACCTCTTATTTGGAAAAGGTTTTGAAAGACTTCATCATTAATTAATAGAAGAGATTGGATTAGTATGTAAAAAGAGTATACACCTACGTATATCATTCCCAAAACTAAAAAAGGGCACTTTGTTTTTGAAATCCCAACTTAAAGAGTGAAAAGCCTTTTCAAAGTTCAGAAGTAAAATCATACCAGGTATTAAAATTCCTTCTGCATACTGTTTGATATCATAGATTAGCCTTGTATTTTTTTCCTATATACCTCCCTGCGCTAAAACAGGTATGATGCATGTTACCGATTTATTTAAAACAATTGTTAATCTACCTGCCAATAAGCCAGATGCAATTTCATATATTATATTTAGCAATGATATTTGCCTCCAATTCTACTAAAACTGCCTTGGTTGATGTAATTATGTACCATTCATAAATCCATAATTGATAGACCTAACTTGAAAATTACTTAATTTCCCCAAGATGTTTTTTTTAAGGATCAGATGTAAAACCATTTGGCCCAGGACTTTTATAATTTTCATGGTTTTTTTAAAAATATTTGATGCCTCTTCTCTAAGAATAATAATAAATTATCAACACCGCCTATGTGTAAGTTATACTTATGACCCTGGTTCTCTTCTACTTTCTATGAGTCGCTTAGCCTAATTTGGGATTTGTAGACGCTGACAATGTGTTTCATTTGACATGAGGTTTTTTTCCGATGAAATAGTTAGGACTGCTGTCCTGCTTAATCTACTGGCTTTCATAAAAATACAAATTAACTGTGATATTAAACATTGTGTTTCCCCATGAGAATAATTCCCCCATGAGAATTTTGGGAAGTAAAACGGGATGATGTCTGATTTTCTCGAGGCCTGCATATCGTTACGTTAACCAGGCTTTGGCCACTTGCAATGTTTCCCATTGTGGTTTGTAATCTGTTTTTTGATTGGTCAAATCAGCAAAAGTGATGATTTTCACAAGTGAAAACTATCACTTCTATAGAATGAATTACTTTTAATATTTCACCGGTAAAAATGTAATAAATAGCCATATCGTACAGTAAATAAAGTCTAGCAATAGACATCTTTTTCACAAACGTATATATTCATGTGCAATATATCATTTGAATTTCCCGGTGTTTAATTTTGGAATACAATTTCATTCGTCAAGTCTAAACCACGTGATAGCTGACCAATGTGTCAGCAGGTGAACCCCACAGGGGGCAGAAAAATTTGCAACCGCACGCCATCTTTGTTTTTCTGGACTATAAACAAAGGATACATGTAATTTGGCCTTTAATACGGCAAAAGTTTTCTAAGCGTCATCCCGAACACAAGAACACATCTTGGACTTTTGGTGAGTCATCATCAATGTTTGTTTACATTTGATCACGCCCGCATGTGTTTCAGTGAACCATGCCTGACAATGTCACGGCGCCCCGGAGGAAAGTTTTGGTGTTGGGCCATAGCTTCATAGCTCGGCTTTCGTGGTACGCTAATGAATTGCCCTCGCGTGCGAATTTAGGGCTTTATCGTGACGTTGTTGAATTACACGGGTTTTCAGGAGCTGGTATCAATCGGATATACAGAGAGTTTTCTCGTAGATTCCGTGTGTCAGGTTCTGACGTTGTTTGTTTACAATGCGGTGGCAATGATTTGAGCAACCCCTCGGCAGACCCAGACATGGTCGTACGGGTGATTTGTACATTTGTTGACTGGTTTGTTACAATCCTGTGGTGTTTAAACGGTTGCGGTATGCAAGTTGCTTTTCCGGGCATCGACGCGAGCCAACAAGGGTGACGTCTCAGTTCATGGCTTCCAAAATTCCCAAAATGCAGATTGCAATAACTGCATTGTAACGTAAAGGAAAGTAGGAAAATTTGGACACTATATGCTCTTTATATACATAAATTAGATTTCGTCGACACAATAAAAGTGTTACGTACTTTCTATGTTTTGGGTCAAAATGAGTCGTTTTCGAAATGTTTGGGTTATGCAAAATTAGAGCATTCTGCTGTTAAATTGTTGTGGTCTCCTTAATATATATGTATCAAATAATTGTAGCTGAGCGCTTGATTGGAAGAACCGGGTAAAGTTGTTGTGATTTTTTTTGATTTTTTTTTCAAAAATCCATCGTAATGTCGAACCTTGTTTTGTCAGTGCTTTCTTGGCTGTCATTTGTAGAAAGCAGCAAAACAACATGCTCATACTTGCAAACCACCTCAGTAATTCACTAGGATGCGTTATACCCGAAATCGCCTGTCCGATCATGAGTTGATTTTCATATACAGGATGAAATATATCATACTGCATCAAGCTTGTTTACGTTCATGTGGATTCACCGGCAATGGCGCCGACAACAGCTTTTTCACAATATCCATTCGCTGTACATTATATGTTATAGCTGTTTCTATTGATTGTTTACTTGATATGCAAATGCAAATACATGTTTGTTTAAAATCATAACGTCGGTGTGGAATCGCGAACTATTTCTCGCGCGTAGCACATGGAATTTGATATGTTGTTAGGTCACTTCCTGTACAAACATTCAAGCTGACAAGAGAAACGAAGACGAACACAAATGTTTTATTAGTCTCCTGTAAGTAATCGATTACAAAATGCAAAATGAGGTTATTGCCCTATCATTGTAACCACACGGTGTGTCCCAAATTACTCATTAAGAGATCTATATATGTACACGATTTGTTTACAAACCTTGAAATGTTGAATTCTTAACACTATCGATGCCCGTGTTGGTTGATCACGTGGGAATGCGGGACATTTAATTTTAGGATTATTAAACGGTGCTGCATGAAATTAAGCAGTCGTTTTCAGACCTGTCTACTTAATTTCCAATAGTTCATAAACTTTGAGCTGTTCATTGAGACAATAAAATTAATTTATAACTCATGATTGATTTACCATTGAGTGGTATATTGTACAATCAACTCTCCCACAGGTTTGTGGTAAAGCCTACTTCAAGATAGCTCAATGAGCTATATATAGACACACGATGTTTTAAGTATGGAGGCTTTGTTGGATGATAGAATAATATACAACATTACTTGTATCAAACCGACCATAATTTGTACCAATAATTAGTTGGTATGTCATACAAATTTTTCATATTGACCATTACACTTAGACCTATATTATAAAGAATACGTTTCTTGTCATATTACCACACTTGTAATATTAAACTAATATATTTACATTCTTGATGTTTGTTCTGTATATAAACCTACCAACTGAAAACAACTGCTATTAGACTATGAATACACTATTAATACAATAATGGTTGACAAAATTTAACACAATGGGTGCTTTCATGCTGGAAATAAACACTGTTATGAGGGATATTAAGCCAAAAACCTGATAGGTTTACATAGACATAAGTGTCAAGACATTAATGCCAAGGATTTTATATTCACAGACATCAGCTGAGAACCTGGACCCAAGCATTCCTGCTGACACCTGAAATGTGTGTTTTCTTGTTAATTAGTTGGTGTGTTTTTTTTAAATCATTTCCAAAATGTTTTCTCCTAAGAATAGTCACCACTAGACAAATAAGTGTTGCAACAATTGTGTGTTTCCTTCAATTTCACTGTGTCCTATTTTGACCTCATTCTCCTTTGCTGTGCACACACAAAACCCTTAAAAGTTGTGTTCTTTTCGCTCTCGGTTCATAGCTATAAATAGTTACAGTAGCGTTGTCTCAGGTTGGTCGCAGCTGGTATTCGAGTGGTCTCCCTTTTACTACGAAAAATAAGAATTTACTTCTGCTGTTGTTATCAGTTATATATTTAATTATTTCGTTTTCCATGGATCTTCGCATATTGAAAATAACTATACAGTATATATATCAACGTAAGACACATGTTGCAGTGATACTGCCTAAAATTAATAAATAAATAAATAAATAAATAAAGGTACCCTATAAGCACAGTACAGTAGAGGCAATTTTGATTTATGCTGAATGAGAGGTATTTCTCTTTCATGAGAATCATGTTAAAGGATAATTAAATTTTATATCAACACATTTAGAATATTTTAACAGTTTTCATTCATTTCATAATTTCTGTATTTTATTGAATTTGTGAAGAGCTTTTGTTCTGTGCACCGCTTCTCAGGGCTTTGCTTTGGTATGTACGCCATATTTTGTAAACTCAAAGTTGCTTGTGCACTAGTTTGAGTTGCTCGCTCCTGCCTTTGGCTCACTTTCCATAGAATATTTCCCAAGTTTTTCCTTGCCATTGGCCGGCATTAAACTGCTGTATTTTATTATCAAAGCTAAAGATTAAAAATAAAATTCCTTTCTGGTGATTATCAATATCAAAACTGGTGAGTTTATAAATCTCTACTTATTAACCTGTATTATGAAAAAGAAGAAAAAAAGATAAAAAAAAAAAAAAAACCAATATCTGTCTGTCATTTGTTGGTTTTATCAGAAGAGGAGGTCTGCGACAAGCAACATTCATGCTCCAGAGCCCCAACAAGAGAAACGCCCACGACGGTCTGCAGCCCCAGCCCCAGCATCTAGCCAGCGCATTGAATCCTCTTCAGATTAGGAACATGGGACAACCACCATAACCGACGAAAAACTAAAGGACCTAATGAAGGAAGCCTATGGGGGAAGCCTTCAAAGGTGGCCGTGCAGAAGCTCAACAAAGGTACATTCCTAACGCATCTGATACCCACCAGCGCTGTGCAGATGGGTTGCCTCCCCATGATGCCAGTTATTCATTGCCAGTGAATGTAGCAGATTCCATAGATGGGTCAAAGAATATACTTATTCTTCCTGCCTCAGAGGTAGCTGATCAACCTTCCAATACAGAGTTTTCCAAACTATCGGGTACTCATGATCAGCTGACTACCCCACTTGTAGATATTGTTGATCCTAAAACAAACAACAGATTTTTACTGGAAAATAAGTAGACATGAGATCTATCACGGAGAAACAGCAGGACACCATGCAGATGGTGGTTACCACTGATGACAATGGGGTTACCAGTATTATGGTAGCAGAATACAGTAGAAATGGCCCGACTCTGATAAACAAGGCACATGTCGAGGAAATGTAAACACAGCGGTTTTACCCTACACAACACATGTATACATGTATATATATTTGTAAACTGCATTACATTTACAATACATATAAAGCACTGAGAAGTGTATAAACCTCTTTTTTCTATGTATGCCACTTGTGCGAAAACCATGGTTACCACATCAAAAAAAATTTAACCCAAAATTTGACCCCCGCAAGTAGTAATTTTTTTCCTAAGCTCTGTCTGAAATTAAAGATTACCTAACTGGTTGCAGAATTATCTGGGTCGCAGTAAAATTGTAGAACTTGATTTTTTGCAATTTTGCGTCGTGTGCTGTTGTCAAAATTTTACCTCCTGTAAAGCTAGCTTTTCATGTGTACGCACCCTTTCGTATTATGGCCAAAATTTTATTCTCGAACCAAAGAAATCTTCTTTCTTTTTTACAAATGTGAAGCTCACATAGCCCACTTCATCATGCTTATACCAATTTTAGTACAGTTTTATTTTTATATTTTTTTTACATATCATTATACAGGGGTTAGTCATTTAACAAAAATATCACCCATGGCCACAACCCTCTACTGTACTCTGCTACCTTATACATCACTTTTTTTCCCAAAAAATTTTATCAAAACCTTTTAAATGTCTGGAAAATGCGACAATGAACACAATGATGTATCCGTTTCCTTTCTCACTTTAATAGTGACCGAGTAATATGAATTCTCCTGAAAAGTGTATTTACCAATTCTGCTCTCAAACTACCAACAAAGGGAGGTAATCTGAAAAATGAAAACTTGAATAGGTTTGTAGTTTTCATGAATAAAATTTCTTTTTGGGTGAAATATGATGCCTTGAGATCATGTGCATGTAGAAAACAAACAGTACAGTGATACTATGATGTTACTGTCTTGTTTGATGACGTCATAGTAACTGTGATGTCATCATAACTATGACGTCATCAATGGGCATCTATGACATCATCGAGGATCACTGATATCAAAATATTGAACACTAGGAAACCCATCTCAACAACAAACTAGCAACAGACACACTTCCCGTAACCGATGAACAGCACAGAAATGTAAGATATTCTGAGAAATCAGACAAGTGCCACCATAGCAACCGTTATTTACTTTCCTCGCCTAGAATTGACAGTGACCCTCAGAAATTGTTCATTTAACATATTTCGCTAGAAAAAAAAGATTTTCTTCAGCTGTAATTATGGAAATAAAATTTATTGACATTACTGACTTTGCTTATTTCATCTGTATGCTGAATCAAGTGGAAAAAAACATCTAAAATAGTGTAATTAAAATGAAAACAGATATTTTACCCATTTTTACCCATTTTCAATAAATACAACTTTATGTATTAGTAACCATGGCTACCGGGTGCTGAACTGAGTGAAACAGACTGAAATCTAGTATGAATGCATCAGGAGATAGCCTGTGAACTATTTGATGTTTGGTATCAACTTTACCAATAACATAATTGACACATATGTGATGAATTGCAGAATTTCACAAGTGCCTGTGAAAGCGCGAGTTACCTCTCTTTATACATCCACAGGTAACAGGCTAATGACCTATATATAGACCTATCTATGTAACGGGTTTTTTGGCGTTTTTGAGTAGTTTTAAGTATTAATGAATGAAAGTGAAGCTGAATCAAGCATAAAAAGGGATTTTTTCAGAAAAAATCAAGTTCTATGTGTATATGGTAGCAGAATACAGTAGAAATGGCCCGACTCTGATAAACAAGGCACATGTCGAGGAAATGTAAACACAGCGGTTTTACCCTACACAACACATGTATACATGTATATATATTTGTAAACTGCATTACATTTACAATACATATAAAGCACTGAGAAGTGTATAAACCTCTTTTTTCTATGTATGTCACTTGTGTGAAAACCATGGTTACCACATCAAAAATTACCAAAAAATGCCAAAAAATGCTATTTTTAACCCAAAATTTGACCCCCGCAAGTAGTAATTTTTTTCCTAAGCTCTGTCTGAAATTAAAGATTACCTACCTGGTTGCAGAATTATCTGGGTCGCAGTAAAATTGTAGAACTTGATTTTTTGCAATTTTGCGTCGTGTGCTGTTGTCAAAATTTTACCTCCTGTAAAGCTAGCTTTTCATGTGTACGCACCCTTTCGTATTATGGCCAAAATTTTATTCTCGAACCAAAGAAATCTTCTTTCTTTTTTACAAATGTGAAGCTCACATAGCCCACTTCATCATGCTTATACCAATTTTAGTACAGTTTTATTTTTATATTTTTTTTACATATCATTATACAGGGGTTAGCCATTTAACAAAAATATCACCCATGGCCACAACCCTCTACTGTACTCTGCTACCCCAGTGGGTACCAAAATCCAACACAACAAAAACTTTGTCTATCGAAGAATTGACAACAAACTTTTCAATTTTCATTGCGGTTTATTGTAGTAATGCCACTCTTGCTTTTCCCCAACTCCTCAAGTACCAACCAATGGTACCCCATTTAGCATCCAAGCCGGCCGACTGGCAATATTATGACACAAATTTCTGCCGTCGCCGCGCCAATTCATTTGCATCCCTCCGTTGGGATACATTCCATCTAGAACTATGGAATGACGCCCTGTCGCGGCGTCCCACTTCGGGGACGTTAGCTGCGCATACAGTACCAGAGTCGGAGTACGTCATAAATTTGCTCGCGGGGAACATTGTGTGGGTTGTCGCTATCACACAAATGCGGCATTTGTGGGGCAAAACATTCCATTGCTCAATGTTCCATTATGGGGCATTTACCACCACAAGCGGCTCCAAGGTTTCGCCCAAATTTTCGTCCCCGACAGCAAAACCACTTCAACCAACCACGGTTTTTCCCGTGCGGTAGTGGATTCGGACCACGAAGATACCGATATAATAACCCCTATTAATGTAAAAGCATTGGCACAGGTTCTCGAGGAGTATGATTGGGATAAAGCAATGTTTTTGATTGATGGCTATACCAATGGTTTTAAAATTCATTTTGAAGGCAGTACCATGGGAAGGACTTGCAGTAATATGAAGTCTGCCATTGAGATGCCTGAGGTGGTAGATAAAAAATTGAACAAAGAATAAGTGGCGTGCAGATTTTCCATTCCCGTTTAAAGATCCTCCCTTTTCTAATATCCATATGGGCGTGGTCCCAAAAAAGGTAGAAGGTCAGTTTCGTTTAATTCATCACCTCAGTTATCCTAGTGGCGGTTCTGTCAATGATGGAATTCCAGATAAATATTCATTTGTACAATATCACAATATACAAGATGCTATTTCATTCATTAAACATTTACCCATTTCCTTTTTGGCATAAACTGATATAGAGGCTGCTGTCCGCATCATTCCAAATCATCCAAGTCAACGATACTTGCTTGGATTTAGTCGGAAAGAACAGTTTTTTATGATAAGTGCCTTCCCAAGGGACTTGCAGAAAGCTGTAGGATTGTTGAAGAGTTCGCTACAGCAATTGAATGGGCAGCATACCATCATTGCAAAGCATCAGCTATAGTTCATGTATTAGATGATTTTTTTGCTTATTGAACCTTTATATTCCCAGTGTCAGGATAGTCTCCAGAGTTTCAAAGACTTGTGTTCAGAGGTGGGGGTACCCTTAGAACCAGGTAAAACATTTGGCCCTAGTCAAGTCATGCCATTCTTGGGTATTAAATTAGATACATTGTTACAGGAAGCTCGATTACCTCTGGACAAGTTAGCTGAATGTAGGGCTGTATGTGTCAGCTTTCAGAACAAGACAAAAAATACACTCAAAGAACTTCAGTCGTTCATTGGGAAACTTCAAATTGCCACAAGTGTGGTACAACCAGATCGCCCATTTCTACGTCGTTTGATCGACTTAACAAAAGGTGTGAAAAAAATAGGTCACAAGATTCGTCTCAATAACGGTAGTCGAGCTGATCGTCAACTCTGGGGTGAATTTTTAGAGCATTTCAATGGCATTTTTTTTTTCCTCCCCGATGTTTGGTTAACATCTAAAACCCTTAGTTTATATACAGATGCATCGTCTACAGTAGGATATGGAGCAGTGTTTGGTAACTCATGGTTCAATGGTACATGGAGTATAACATGGGTCAAACCACACATTACTATTTTAGAACTTTACCCGATTGTGGTAGCTTTAGTTGCCTGGGCTCCACAATTTGCACAGAAAGCTATTTGGTTATTTACCGATAATGTATCACTTGTATCCATCTTGAATGCCCAGACTTCTCGTGACACCAAAATTATGACTTTGGTTCGGATTCTGGTATTGAACTGCCTCCAACGCATTATGTTGGTGCGCGTATTCCAGGTTCTAAGAACATATTGGCTGATGTTTTGTCTCGTTCACAGGTAAAGCGGTTCAAGACACTGTTGCCTTCTGCAGACATACTTCCAACACAAGTACCCAGTCATCGGAGTCCAGAAGCCTTGTTCCAACTCTAACCAACCTGGTCAATGCGTCATTAACACCAACCTCACAGAAACTGTACAATAAATCCCTTAAGAATATTTCAGATTTTTGTTTGGAGTATTAAGGTATACCACTACACATTCCTGTTCC